GAGAGCCAAAGAGAGGGAGAGAGAGAAGGGGAGAGAGAGAGAGAGAGAGAGAGAGAGAGAGAGAGAGAGAGAGAGAGAGAGAGAGCAAGGGACAGCGACACAGACAGAGAAAAAAGGGGGTATAAAAAACAAAAAATGCCGCTGCTCACGCGGCAGTTTTCCCCTCTGGGTTCGAGCTGACCGTTTTGACGACCTGTCAAATTATTTCTCGTTGTTGTACGTGGCAGTGGTGGTGGTGATGGGGGTGGCGGTGGTGGCGGTGAGGGTGGTGGTGACGGTGGTGGTTATGGTGGTGGTGATGGGGTGGTGACGGGGTGGTGATAGGGGTTGTGATAGGGGTGGTGACGGTGGTGGTGATGGGGTGGTGATGGGGGTGGTGACGGGGTGGTGATAGGGGTTGTGATAGGGGTGGTGACGGTGGTGGTGATGGGGTGGTGATGGGGGTGGTGACGGGGTGGTGATGGGGTGGTGATGGGGGTGGTGATGGGGATGGTGTGAAGAAGTTGTCCCCGTTGTTGAGCCTCTCAGGGAAGTGTCAAGAAAATGGGAGGGGGGGGTGCGGATGGTGGAGAAGAAAGGGGGAGGGGAGGCAGGATTTCCAAAGTCAAAATATAGTAGTTGTGGTGGTGATGGGACAGTTTGTCGAGGGCAGCCAGAATGGCCATGAGTAGCGCGAAGCGAAAAGAAAAGAGAGGAAAACGTGCACGGCACGGCACCCTGGAGGAGGGGATATAAGCGCCGCGTCTGAACCAGATGCGCATGACAACCCCGCGAGAAAATAATGCAATATAACGTACAACGTGCGGGAAAAAACAGAAACTGCGGTGGTAAATGCTGTCGGAAACACACGCCGCATTTCTCTGTTATGAAAAAAAGTGGGAATCCGCGTGGCGTTTATACTGAGCGGCGCGTCACTTTTTGTGCTCATTTAGAGTGATAACCTGTCTGCCGATCAGTTCCCGCTTTACAATCTCCTTATTTTGCCGCCAACGCGCTTGTATTTTGTTTTTTCTCAAAGCGACCTCATACACCAATATACTGATTTCCTGGATTAACTTAGGTTGGTTAGATTACTCTCTAAATGTGAAAGGACAATTTTTTCCTATGCAAGTAACGTTTTTCGTGCACATCCATCCAGACCCTCGAGACAAATTTCTTCCCAAAACTAGGCGATGCGTGTGCCGCTATTTCCAGCCGGGGAGTCTTACACTTGGACTTCCAGTGTGTAGCTCGAGGTGGAATTTACCGTAAGCTTCTGACAGTGGCCAAACGAGGAGCCGCTGATAGAGTGGGGAGGGGGAAAGAGACGGAGTAAAACGGGGGGAGGAGACGCGTGAAGGGGTGAGCTGAAAAGGGGTTCGTTAAGACAAGTCTCTGCCATCGGGCCGCCCAAAGTCCGCCAGAGACCGCCGGGCAAGCATGATCCATGGACGTCACGGGCGGGGCTGGCGGGGCGGAGCGGGGTATAGGGCAGGGTGGGGTATGGGGCGGGGCGGGGCAGAGCGGGGTAGCATAGTGGCGCGCGCTCTCATCCCCACACGACAGACGTACGTACTATAAGAGGATTCCGTTGCGTTCCCCTACTTACCGGCAGCGGCGGCGTCACCGACGGCTTGCTCTCCGGGCTATTCATCTCTCTCTCTCTCTCTCTCTCTCTCTCTCTCTCTCTCTCTCTCTCTCTCTCTCTCAACGTAACCCTTTCGCCTCTATCGCATCGTCCCGTGTGTTCCACCATACGAGGAGGAAGGAGTACAAACAGAGAGACGGTCACGGAGGGCGAGAGAGCGCAAAAGTAGGCGTAACGGAGGAAGGAGAGCTCGCGCAATATATATTGACCCAGTCTCTGTGTGCTCCTCTATGTGAACTTGGGGGCGGGTGCGGGTGGTTCGGCGTGGGGCGAGGGTGGTTAGGAGCGAGAGTTGGAGGGGGGGGGGATGCAGCGCAGGAGAGCACGCCGCGCCCCGGGCTCCAGGACTTTCATTTTGTGGAGCCGGCGCGCGCGCAGAGCTTCACGCGACTCGCTTGCAGCGTGTGCAGATGCGTCGCCTGTAACGCATGTGCAGCCTGGTGTGGTGTGGCGTGGCGTGGCGTGGCGGGGCGGGGCGCGGCGCGGGGTTGGGAGGAGTTCGTCACACAGTTGCTCGCCGGGAGACGTCGTTACGGAGAATCAAAACAGATTTGATACACTGAAGCCGCTTCGTCTCCTTGCGGCGCGCGGCAAGCCTCGAGGGGGCTAAGGAGCGGAGGGGGCTGGGGGAGTGAGGGGGGGGGGGTGCTCTGGAGGGATTTGGTAAGGGCTGGGCCCGGGTAATTAGGAGCTGAAACACTTAAGTACAAGAGAGCGCGGCGTGGCGTGGCGCGGCGCAGCGTCGCAGGGCGCGGGGGACTGGCAATCCGTCACCTCCGAGCGGCAGCAGCAGGGGTTGCCCGGCAGGCACTGCTGCGCCTCGCTGCTCCTGCCGCTGAGAGTTTGCCCGCCCAGCTCCCTGCCTTCCCGCCTCTCTCTCTCTCTCTCTCTCTCTCTCTCTCTCTCTCTCTCTCTCTCTCTCTCCCTCTCTCTCCACCACCTTTACCCGTTTCGTCCATTGCTGCCTTCACCCTTAGGGGAGAGTTATGGCTGCAGGAGCGAGGCAAAGGAAAATGTTGAGGCCTTCTGCTAAAATAATGGCGGATATAATACGGCCATCGAACCGGTACCACCAATACCGAAAACAGCAACAGCGGCATTACTCAACAAAATAACACTGTTAAAAATTCTGTGCCCAGAAACAGGATTTATACAGACCGTTCTGTACTTCCATACTACGGTCAAAATCTGTTCAACTGGTGTTTTAGGGATACAGACTTGACATTGCTTGAAAAGAACTTTCCTCCAGAATGAAGTACAGTGCAAACATACAGGATTACACTGTTTTCAAAATTACCAGTCCTTTCTGTAGTTATTTACTGCTGTACAGTTTTTAACAGTGAAGTTTTCGCATACTAAACACTGTTAAAAAAATTGCTGTAAATTTACAGCGAAAATGTGATTAATTTTGTTAGCAGCATATTCTGTATTTTTACAGGCCTTACTGTAAAAAAGCAGCGTTTATCAAAATGTCGGAAACAAAGTTTCCGACCAAAAGCAGTAACTTTGTTTTGATACTGTAAAAAAAAAAAAAATTGTAATAATACGAGTGTCCTGTTTTGGAACGAAATGTGCTGCTAACAAAATTAACTTCTCTTTTCTTGTAAATGTACAGCAAAGAAATACGTAGTAGTTTGTGTTTTGGGCCACCATGGGCCGAATATCACAATTTTCGAGAGTGTTCAAATGAAAACAACATTTCTGTTACATTACAGGAGTGTCAATAAGGCAGTAAGTCGTTAGGTGACGGTTATTTTTAACAGTGAAGCAAGAGTAAAACTTGTGGGATCTAAAGGGGAACGCCAAGTAGGTAGTATTTAAGAAAGAGTGCCAACATTTCGGCCTGCAAAGTAGTTGGCCGCAACACAGTTTTTTTCAGTGCTCTGCCCCAGCACTGCGCGGACACGGCACCTGGCGCCTCCACCACGTTTGCTGCTGCTGGCAGGTTGCCCTCGCCTTCCGACAAAAGCGTTTGGCAGCCACACCACCGCCCCCCGTTCGGCAGCCGCCGGTCAACATTTCGACACACTTGTCACACTCATCGCTAAAGCTGCTGCAGCAGCACCACTCCACGAGTCTTACGGGCGGGTGGGTAGGTACGGACGGATTGTGATGCTGCTAGCACTGGCGAGAGAGCTGCTTGTGCTGCACCCCTTTTCCTTTCTCCTGAACGCTTCCTGGTCCTCTTTCTCCCTTATCCCCCCCTCCTCTCTCTTTCTCTTCCTCTCCCCTCTCACACACACACATCTTCCAGCCTCC